GCCTGGCAAATTTTTGTATTTTCAGTAGAGACAGAGTTTCACCATATTAGTCAGGATGGCCTCAATCTCCTGATTTTGCAATCCTCCCGACTCGGGCTCCCAAAGTGCTGGGATTACAGGCGTGAACCATCAAACCCAACCAAGTTTTGAATTTCTTTATGGTTCAACCTTGGTAGGTTGTATATGTCTAAAAATGTATCCATTTCTAATATGCTTTCCAATTTATTGGCATAGAGCTTCTTATAGCAGTCTCTAATGATCTTTGAATTCCTGGAGTATTCATTGAAATGTCTCTGTTTTCTCTCATTTTATTTGGATCTTCTCTCTTTTTTTTTCTTAATCTGGCTAAAGGTTTGTAGATTTTGTTTTCAAAAATCCAACTTTTCATTTTTGTGATCTTGTGTATTTTTTTGGTCTCAATTTTATTTCTGCTCTGATCTTTATTTCTTTTCTTCTACTAATTTTGGGTTTGGTTTGCTCTTTACTTTTCTAGTTATTTGACAGAGTCTCACTCTGTCACCCAGCCTGTAGTGGCACAATGTCAGCTTACTGCAACCTCTACCTCCCAGGTTCAAGTGATCTTCCCACCTCAGCCTCCCAAGTAGCTGAGACTACAGGTGGGCACCACCATGCCCGGCAGCTAATTTTTGTAGAGACGGGGTTTCACCATGTTGCCCAGGCTGGTCTCAAACTCCTGAGTTCAAGCAATTCAGCCCAACCATGGCCTCCCAGTGTTGGAATCACAGGCATGAGCCACCAGCCCCAGCCATGCTTTTCTTTAAGATGTTAGGTTAAGTTTTTCTCTTTTTTTGATGCAAGCATTTATTGCAATACTTTTTTCTTAGTACTTCTTTTGTTGTATACCATAGGTTTTGTTCCGTTGTGTTTTCATTTTCATTTGTTTCAAGAAATTTTGTAATTTTCTTCTTAATTTCTTCATTGACCCAATGGTTGTTCAGGGGAATGTTGTCAAATTTCCATGTGTTTCTATAGCTTTTCTTTTTTTTAGATGGGTCTCCCTCTGTTGCCCAGCCTGGAGTGCAGTGGGATGATCTTGGCCATGATCTAGCCACTGCACTCCAGCCTGGACCCTGTCTTAAAAAAAAAAAAAAAAAAAAAAAAAGTTGGGCATGGTGATTCATGCCTGTAATCACAGCAATTTGGGAGGCCAAGGTGGGTGGATCATGAGGTCAGGAGTTCGAGACCAGCCTGGCCAACATGGTGAAACCCTGTCTCTACTAAAAACACAAAAATTAGCCCCCTGTGGTGGCACGTGTCTGTAATCCCAGCTACTCAGGAGGCTGAGGCAGGAGAATCACTTGAAACCGGAAGGCAGAGATTGCAGTGAGCCAAGACCGTGTCACTGCACTCCAGCCTGGGCAACAGTGCCATACTTCATCTCAAAAAAAAAAAAGGAACAGCAACACCAATTACTCTAGCTGGAGATCTTGGAAACGTCTCAAATCTTTTCTAGGGATGTGTCTTTTCTGGATTTGTCTGTGTAATTTTGTAAAGAGATTTGCCCCTGTTTCTTTTTAAGGACCTCATAATTTCTTCCTCCTCTTGTTATGTTTATGATACCAGACCCTACAGTGCTATAACAAGCCTACCGCTCTCACATTTGTTCCAGCCGCCCCTAGTCATCCAAAGTATGACAGTGTTCCTGTCAGTGCTCTAGTCACATGAACAGAAATCAGTCCCTCGGGCAGCACCACTGTAAGCCAGAACATTGGACATATATTCCACTCTACTCTTTCCTTCTTGAGAGAGAAGGCGCAAGTAGCTTTTTCCAGATTGTGCTGCACTGTGCTTGGTTCTGGGAGAACCTATGGTATGCAAATGTAATAGACTTTCTCACCTGCTTCAAATCAGCTCTTCTTGCTTTTACATTCATCTAGGGAACTGCGACTTTTTAACTGATTTCTGAAAAATCGCCAGAGGCAATTTGGTCCCTATATTGTTAAGTCAGTGTCTCTATGAGAGAATGAGGGCCTGGGGCTTACTATTTTTTTATGTTATTTTTGAGACGGAATCTTGTTCTGTTGCTCAGGCTGGAGTGCAGTGGCGTGACCGCAGCTCACTGCAACTTCCACCTCCCAGGCTCAAGCAATTCTCCTGCCTCAGCCTCCTGAGTAGCTGGGATTACAGGCACACACCCCCATACTGGGCTTATTTTTGTATTTTTAGTAGAGACCGGGTTTCACCATGTTGGGCAGGCTGGTCTCAAACTCCTGACTTCATGGTCTCCCCACCTTGGCCTTCCAAAGCATTGGGATTGCAGCCATGAGCCACCCATCATGCCCGGCAGGGCTTCGTATTAATATTTTCCCATCTTGCTGATGTCACTCACCACTGTTTTTCGATCACTTTACTTTCTGGTACTACAAGATGTTCCAGATTCATCTTGTACATTCCCAGCTCCAGCTCTAGAATCAGCCATTTTCTCCAGAGAAACCTAGTTCCATTCATGGGAGAATGGTTTTAGAAACCAAGATCTCAGTGGGGTTACTGTAGCTTGGTAGAATGCATTTCCCAGTAACTCACTGAGAAAGAGTACATGGGAGATAATTTTGAGACCTAACTCATGTCTGAAAATGTCTTTATTCTACCTTTATACTTGTTTGATAATTTGGTTGGGTAGAATTTTAGTTAGAAAACTTTCCCCAAAGAATTGGGGAGATTCTCTTCTTGCTGTGTTGCTGTTCAGAAATCAAATCCTTACTAAATTGTTCTGTGCTCGCAGAGGTTGAAAAGAAAAATCCTTAATTGCTAATCTTTTCTACATTCCTTTTGCTTTTTTCTTTCTAGAAACTTAGTCTTCTCTTTACGTTCTGAAATTTCTGTTATGTGCCTTGGGAATGAGTCTATTTTCATGCATTGTGCTAGATATTTGAAGATATCTTTCAATCTGGTTATGTCATTAAGTGCTGCAAAATTTGTTTAATTTTCTGATCTTATTTTTCTTCTTTCTGGAACTCCTACATTTTGGATATTGGAACTCCTGGAGTCTAACTTATGTACAGTATCTCTTTTTTCCCACCTTATATATTTATTGTTAATCTTTCTAGCATTTGGAAAATTTCAACACTTTTCCAATGATTGTTTTTTCATTTCTAGTCTGTCTTATATTAATAGGAACTTTTTTCTCCTCTGAGATTTTCATTTTTTGCAGCATCCTGCTATTTTATAGATGTAGTGTCTTACATCTCTAAGGATATTAACCCATTTGGCAAGGGTAATTGTCTTCTCACTGCATCAATTGATCCCTGAAAATTGCTTTTGTTTTGGTGTTGGACTAGAGGCTTTCATTAGATTCTAGGTGGGAGTCTCATGAATAAGAGATGGGGCCTAAAACACTGACCTGAGTATGGGTGGGACTTCTCATCTTTGAAGTTAATTGCTGGAATGAGCCCTTTTCCCCTGCAATACTTGGTGTCAATCTTTTATATTCCTTTTATATAGTGGACAGTATATATAAAGCTTGTTCCTAGCAAAGTACTGTGTAGAAAGGAATTTGGCCTTGCCCTTGGGATGTTATGCTACATAGGCATGCCTTTGTTTACCTGGGATCTTGGGATATAATGAATAGCCTTGACAATATGATTTATGGCTGGGGTGGGACAAATCTATACAGTCTTATGGTAGTGGGGTACAACACACCAGAAATACCAATAATGTAATTTAGGGTGGAGGTTTTGGGTCATGCACTATCAGCTGACCTGGAGACTGTGATTAACCACATGGACAATTAATCATGCATATGTAAAGCAGCCCCAATAAACACTGGGTTCCAAGGCTTGAATGAGCTTCCCTGGCTGGCAATACTCTGCACACTGTCACACATCAATGCCAGTAAAATAATGCTTTCTGAGCCCATGGAGACAGGACAAGAGCTGTGTTTGGTACTTCTGAGCTCTACCCTCTCCATCTCTTCCTCTGGCTGATTTTGATCTTTAACATTTCCCTGTAATAACTAACCATGAATACAATAGTTTTCTTTTGAGTTCGGTGAGTCCTTCCAGAAAATTATCTAACCTGAGGGTTGGTATTAGAAATCCTCCAGACTTGCAAGTACTCGTCTTCCATTCAGTCTGAGTTCTACCAGTTACTTTTTACCCTCCAGATGCCATCTGCGGGGGTGGGGTGGGGGGGGATAAAGAGAGCTGCTTAGCAATGTAGAAATGAGAGACACCATAAGCCTTCCCAGTATTCATGCCATCTTCCCTCTTTCTGTACCTTTTCTACCCTTCATCCCAGAGGTAACTGGTGCTGTGAATTCTGTGTTTATTAGTTTCTCCATTTAGAACTGGGGTTTCTTGGGTCTACCAAGTTAGTTAACACTGTTTATCTGCTTTCCAATTCCCCAAATTCTGGTTGTTTCCTCTATTTTCTCCAACCTGAGGGTTTCTGTGTGAATGCATCTTCTGTAGCAGCCATAAAGGTGTACCATTCAGATCTCCCTTCGAAAGAATCTGAGGTGAGGACTGTAACTGGTACTTTCAGATCCATCAAGGCATTTGTGCCTAGGCATGCTCCCCTCGGCCTCCTCCCAGACACTGACTTGAGCAAGTCAGAGGCACAAAGCCAGGTTATTTCTGCCCAACTCTGAACTCTACTAAAAGGAATCCTTGCCTGGGAACTCTCCATCGGCCTGACTAAGACTTCATCTCAGAGTTGCACTGCAGTTTGTTTTTGCTAATCAACCTTCATTTTCCTTTTTACAGTGTCAGATCTATACCACAGTCTGAGGCTCTCTCAACCTACGCTTGGTACATCCGTTTGTCCTTCATTTACGTTTCCTCTAATAAATTCTTGCACATCTAATTTTATCATGTCATCTGCTTCTTTGAGGACTCAAATTATCATCCAGGATTTTGGAAAGGTTTTATCAGATGTTTAGTCCGCTGTCTTAATACAGAAACCACCATGAAGTTTTTATGTTCTTCAAGGATTACACATTTCAAGTTTCATTTAACTGGGGAAGAATGAATTACTTTCAACACATTTATATCTGAGTTTATTGTTCTGATTTACTGAAACTTAAAATATTCCATCAAATTATCCAGAAAAATCCAAGTGGCAGAAATATATAATATGTCCATTTCATCAGGCGGTCTCAAATAAATTTTAAAAGGCCAGAAAATGATATATATGCTATACCATTTAAATTGCTTCTACCTTCTTTACTTAGAACTCAAGTATAGGCCAGGCACGGTGGCTCACACCTATAATCCCAGCACTTTGGGAGGCTGAGGCGGGTGGATCACGAGGTCAAGAGATCGAGACCATCCTGGTCAACGAGGTGAAACCCCGTCTCTACTAAAAATACAAAAATTAGCTGGGCATGGTGGGGCGCGTGTGTAGTCCAAGCTACTTGGGAGGCTGAGGCAGGAGAATTGCTTGAACCCAGAAGGAGGAGGTTGCAGTGAGCCGAGATCGTGCCATTGCACTCCAGTCTAGGTAACAACAGCGAAACTCCATCTCAAAAAAAAAAAAACAAAAACCTTCTTTGTTTAACTGTGGTGGTGCTGCTCCCAACATGACTGCATAGGTGTCTAAGGTTAAGTGTGAAGATTACTGTGAGGTCTCAAGTTACTTGATTGATCAAGTCCATTTGAATTTCAATCAAGCAGCATATTTTACATGCACCTGAAGGAAATATCTTCAGTGTGTTCATGTGTGTGTCTATGTGCACATATGCATGGGGATGGGTGTAAGCAGGGCAAGGCTGACTGAACACTGCTAAGTGCATGCTAGAAGTCTGCTGTTGTTTGTAATACAGAAACATACACAGTCTTCATATTCAAAGTCTTCATGGGGATGTCTTCTGTAATTTCTAGAACAAAAAGAAAAAGTTGAAATAAAAATCAGTATTTTACCTATTGTGGGTGAATATTTTCTAAAATGTTAACTGCTTGTGTAGTAAGGAATTTGGCCCTATACTAAGAGTTCTGCCCTCTGTCCCAGCTCCTGAGAGGAATCTCTAAATCCTTGGAATTTCCTAGTAGAAGAGTCTTTGGTTCTCATGGTGGGCATGTTCACCAAACCTGACAGTTGTTGCTAATGAGATGATTCACGGTAGTGCTGGCCAAGACATAAAGACCAAGTATATGATTTAGAATGGGGACTTTGGGTCACATGGTATTAGCTGAGAAAGGCAGCAATCATACCTACAGAATGAAACCTCAATAGAAACTGGACAGCAAGGCTCAAGTGAGCTTCCCTGGCTGGTAATATAGTCCCTGTGTTGTCAGATATAAGGGATGGGAGGAGGAAACATTATCCATGACTCCAGGGAGAGATGATGACCTGGTGATCCTTGCTTGAATCCCTCCGTGATTCTAATCTATCTATCTATCTATCTATCTATCTATCTATCTATCTATGATCAATCCTACTGAATTGCCTAGTAAAGGCAATCAGATGACCAGTGCCTAAGGAATTCACTTATGGAGCATACATATATATGTAGATGTGCGCGCACACTCTCTCTCTCTCTCTCGTGCGCTCGCGCTCTCTCTCTCTCTCTCCCCCCGACCCCCCGCTCTCATTGGTTCTAATGTGTATCCTTTTCCTATAGTAAATGAAACCATGAGTTTACCACCTTTCAGTGAGTCTGAGTCCTCCTAGCAGGTTACTGAACCTGAGGGTGGTCTAGGAAAACCCCTGAAATTTGCAGTTGGTGCCAGCAGTGATGCGGGTCTTGTGTGGATTCTTTCCTGAGTTCACAGTAGAAGCCTAACTCCTTGCAGGTGGAGTTAGATTTTAGACAGACTCCTGGAGCCTTCTGGAGGACTATGCCATCACTTCACAGTCTGGCTAACTCTGGGTACTACACCAAGATGGTTATTTTTCCTCATAAACATATACTTCCTGTGTCTACAAAAAGGCCTAGAAGCTGAGCCAACTCAGTATCCCAGACATGTGATTTCAAAATATGATTCTCTACAATTTGAAGAACAGCTATTTTCTAGGTCTGGAGAAGTAAGAGTACATAATAAGCCGAGGACGTGTTGTTATGTGAGAAAGCAAGAATTTACCGAAGACAAAGGATCATGTCAAAGAACACAGGATTCAATATGATGAATGATGAAAACTCTTAGCATCCAAAAGTATAACACAAATGTAATTAATTAAAATGTATTGAATATACAACTCGAAAAGAAAAAAAAATTAAAGTTATCCATCTACTGTAGAACATTTTACTCCTGTCAGATCTGAATTTAAACAGATGAACTTTCTTTACATATAGCTAGTCAGGCAAAGAGCAGTGGCTCACACCTAAATCCCAGCACTTTGGGAGGCCAAGGCGGGCAGATCACTTAAGGTTGTGAGTTCAAGACCAGTCTGACCAAAATGAAGAAACCCCATCTCTACTAAAAATACAAAATTAGCCGGGTATGGTGGCATGTGCCTGTAATACCAGTACCCAGGAGGCTGAGACAGGAGAACTGCTTCAATTGAATTTTTTTTTTTTGAGACAGTCTCGCTGTTGTTACCCAGACTGGAGTGCAATGGCACGATCTCGGCTCACCGCAACCTCCGCCTCCTGGGTTCAAGCAATTCTCCTGCCTCCGCCTCCTGAGTAGCTGGGACTACAGGCACGCACCACCATGCCCAGCTACTTTTTGTATTTTTAGTAGAGACGGGGTTTCATCTTGTTGACCTGGACGGTCTCGATCACTTGACCTAGTGATCCACCTGCCTCGGCCTCCCAAAGTGCTGGGATTAAAGGCGTGAGCCACCTCGCCCGGACTGAATTGAATTGCTTTAATTGAACCCAGGAGGTGGAGGTCACGGTGACCTCAGATTATGTGATTGCACTGGGCAACAAGAACAAAACTCAGTCTCAAAAAAAAAAAAAAACCTCTTATCATAGCAGGCAAACCCAGATGTGAAAATACTCTTAAAGCTACTTCCTTAATAGAAAATCACAAGACCTGGAGATGATGTTTAGGGTTTAGTGGAGCATGCAAGAAGACATCTACGAGTTTTTTTTTCTTGTGGGGAGACAGAATCTTGCCCTGTCACCCAGGCTGGAGTATAATGGCATGATCTCAGCTCACTGCAACCTCTGCCTCCTGGGTTCAAGTGATTCTTTTGCCCAGTCTCTCGAGTAACTGGGATTACAGGTGCCTGCCACCATGCTCGGCTAATTTTTGTATTTTTAGTAGAGACAGGTTTTTGCCAAGTTGTCCAGGCTGGTCAGGAACTCCTGACCTCAAGCGATCACCTGCCTCGGCCTCCCAAAGTGCTGGGATTACAGGCATGAGTCACTGTGCCCAGCCACATCTAGGAGTTTCTAAAATGGTCAATATTTTGTGGCCCTTCTAATTCACTAAGTTATTGATACTTTATGAAAGACAATTCTGAGAGAAAAAGCATAATGAAAAGGAAGCTACAGATAATAGATTAAAAAGACATTAAATTAGAAAAAGTCCCGACTATGCAATATTAGGTGAATCACTAAATCTTTAAAAGCTCTCAGCTGGGTGCCGTGGCTCATGCCTTTAATCCTAGCACTTTGGGAGGCTGAGGCGGGCCAATCACTTGAGGTTAGGAGTTCAAGACCAGCCAACATGGTGGAACCCTATCTCTAATAAAAATAAAAAAATTAGCTATGCGTGGTGGTGGGCACCTGTAATTCCAGTTACTCAGGAGGCTGAGACAGAAGAATCGCTTGAACCCAGGAGGTAGAGGTTGCAGTGAGCTGAGATCGTGCCACTACACTACAGCCTGGGCAACGAAGAGTGAAACTCTGTCTCAAAAAAGAAAAAAGCTCTCACCTACTAAACTTTCGCCTAGCTAACATCACAGAATAAAGAGAATGCAGGAAGGCACCATAGCTAAAACTAGTTACGTGAATGGCAGGTAGTATTATAAAAACATAATTCACAGACACGATTCTACCCTGACCAGCTTCAATCATGGCACCACATTCAATTGCACAGAACAAGCGAGAGATAAATGTCTTCTTCAGCTCCAATGCACAACTTGGTGACCAATGGATTTGAGGGAGAAGAAAAGAGTTAAGAATGTTGCTGAAGTTTTATATAAGCTTATCAAAATAGGAAGCTACATTTATAGATGGTCTTTACTACCATACCACAATGAAAGAGCCAAGTGTGTTGGAAGGAGAGTGAAAAAAGCCTTTGACAGAGTGAAAGAATCAGGGACAGAATCAGAAAGACAGAACAGGAAGGATCTTGTGTGGAAGTGAAGATTCTGAAGTGTAAGAGAATGGGAGCCTTGGGGGCTCTAAGCAGGGGAACAACATCAAGGCAGGAATGTACATGAAGTGTACAGTCTGCAGACTGGTGACTTTCATGGATGATGAGGCCCTAAACTAGATGGGAGGGAAAAAGAAAAATAAACCTAGGTAGGGAAGGAGAAACCTATGTAGAAATAAAGCTTTAGTGTTTAACATTATGACAGGAAATTTAAAAGTATAATATGCAACCAAATTAAAAAAAATAGCTGGACAGAAAGAAATTGGGAGAATTCCACAGAGGCCAAAAATAATGACTCCATGGGGTCTGGTGGCTTAATGCTTTTGGCTCTAAAGAGCTCTGAAAGCAGGGAAAGAAAAGCCTCTGGTCTATACAACCTGGAAGTCCAAAACTCTGCTGAAGAAACTGGAACTTCAAATAAGAAACCCGGAGCAAAAGGGTTAATTTGAGTAAGTTCCTTCACCACAGTGAAAAAAGTGAAGATAATGTAAGGGGTTAATAATGGCCTTCCAAAGATATGCCCAGATTCTAAATCCCCAGGAGCTGTGAATGTAACTTTATTTGGAAAAAGAGGAAACAGACAGAGGAGGAGGCAAAGTGATCACGGAGCCAGAGACTGAAGTGATGCGGCCACAAGTCAAGGGATGCCGGGCACCTCCAGCAGCTAAAAGAAGTAAACAAGGAATTCTCCCATAGAGCCTTCAGAGAGACTGCAGCCTTGCTGACACCCTAATTTCAGATGTCTGGCGTCCAGAGCTGTGAGAGAATAAACCTGTTGACTTGAATCACCCCATTTGTGAAAATTTGTTGCAGAAGTCACAGAAACCAATACAGAAAGAATCACCTCACTTAGCTTTGTTTTGGAGTAGGGATTGGCAGATTCTGTCACCATTACAACTCCTGGCCTTTGTGTATGACTGGGAAAGTCATAGCTTTTTTTTGAGACAGAGTTTCACCTGTCACCCAGGCTGGAGAGCAGTGGTGCAATCTCAGCTCACTGCAACCTCCGCCTCCAAGGTTCAATCAATTCTCCTGCCTCAGTCTTCCAAGTAGCTGGGATTTCACCATATAGGCCAGGCTGGTCTCCTAACCTCAGGTGATCGTCCCGTCTCAGCCTCCCAAAGTGCTGGGATTATAAGTGTGAGGCACCGCGTCTAACCAGTCACAGTTTTCTTAACTGTGGTCCAAAATAATTGAGTTTCAAGTGGATCTGGGTTTACAGTGTCTCCAAGGAACCAGACATATGCTGCTGCTTCTTTTTTTTTTTTTTTTTTTTTTTTGAGATGGAGTTTCGCTCTTGTTAACCAGGCTGAAGTGCAAAGGCGCAATCTCGGCTCACCACAACCTCCACCTCCTGGGTTCAGGCAATTCTCCTGCCTCAGCCTCCTGAGTAGCTGGGATTACAGGCACGCACCACCATGCCCAGCTAATTTTTTGTATTCTTAGTAGAGACGGGGTTTCACCACGTTGACCAGGATGGTCTCGATCTCTTGATCTCATGATCCACCCGCCTCGGCCTCCCAAAGAGCTGGGATTACAGGCTTGAGCCACTGCGCCCAGCCGACATATGCTTCTTAAAACTGGGCTTCAACAGAAACATAGAAAACAAGCAGAGCAAATGGGCAATGTAACAGAAAGATGGAAACTCTAAGAATACAATGGACTGGGTGCAGTGGCTCACGCCTGTAATCCCAACACTTTGGGAGGCCAAGGTGGGTGGATCACCTGAGGTCAGGAGTTTGAGACCAGCCTGGGCAACATGGTGAAACCCTGTCTCTACTAAAAATACAAAAATGAGCTGAGCGTGGTGGTGGGTGCCTGTATTCCCAGCTACTCAGGAGGCTGTGGCAGGAGAATCACTTGAAGCCAGGAGGCAGTGGAGGTTGCAGTTAGCCGAGACTGTGCCACTGCACTCCAGCCTGGGAGACAGAACAAGATTCCACCTCAAAAAAAAAAAAGAAAAAAAGAAAATTATATTATGGTAAATTTCTGGGGAAGGAATAAAAAAAAGAATAACAGTACTATCTTACACATGTATGCTACAAATGGTTAATGGCATCAAAATCTACTTTCAACAAAAATAAAAAACCTATGGTCCATAATCCCCTTACCTTGCGTTTGGGTCTCATTCAGAAATAGCTTTAGCTTTCTGCTCCGAAGGCCAAACACCTTGGCTGCTTCATATAGAAGGCCTTTGTGGGTGAGTCCATTCTGCCCAAGTGGGTTTTCAAGGAGTAGAGTACCCACTGTCCCCATTAAACACTCTATGGAAGAAAGAATAAACTGGATTATATCTTGAGTTCACCGTCTATCTCCAACACAGGTGGCCACTGTGGACAGCTCTAACAGGCAGTGCTGAGACCCAGCAGTGGATCCAGAAGCATGAGTGTGACTGTGGGAGATGCAGTCCTTGCAGAAACAGCCTTGAAGATTTCATAGAGGTGAAGGGGAAGGGGAAAAAGAAAAAAAAAAAAAAAAAAAAAACCTTATATAAAAGCCCAGAAGCTTGGGGAACAGATACTTAGTACACAGTCAAGTGAAGACCCCCAAAGACTTCAGTGCAAATGTGCACAATGTAGATCCTAAATTATCAGGAAAAAAATCGCTAAAATCTAGTCTGTTGAATCAGGCATGGAGGTACACAAGTTTTCAGAACATTTTCCCCCAGAAAAAAGTAAAATTAGAAATTAAAATGTTTTGGCACTTAAACAATTTGGTTGTAATTTTTGCCTCACCAATTTTTTCATTTCCTAACCACGCCAGATAGTTGAGGGTGTTTAAGCAAACACACCAAAAGAAAAGTCTGTGGATGCTCCCTAAAGCCGCGAGGGAGCCCACACTTTAAAGCAATACTTGGAAGCCTACTAGAAACATACACGTATATACAGAACCTTAATGCCCAGCACCCCACACTCTGCCTGCTGTGAGGAGGCACATACCTTGTGGCTCTGCATTCAGGAGCTGCAGGTTGACATACTGACAAAGAAGAGTACTGGAACTGTTGATCGGAGAGGGAGCCAATCCTGCAGTCACACACAGTGTTTTTCCACTAAGACCCAGTAAGTCGGTTTGGTTTTGTATTTCTAAAAAATAACAATGACAACAATTCTTTCAGGGTTAATGAAAGTTCAAAACTGAAGTCATTTAATTTTTCCTATTTATCATGTATCGTTTTACAGCAATGCTTTCCACTTAATTTCTGTTTATCAAAAGATATTGCCTTTTCTATAAAACCAGCCGTTAATGACATGTACTGGTAGGAAATCTTAATGTTGCAGAATAAACATCATAATATTCATAATCTGAAATACAGGGCTAATTGTTTTTTCTATTTTAGTATTTTCTCTTTATAATACAGGTCTTCTTAAAATTTCCTCCTATATCAGAATCTCAAGCTTCACCATGAAAAGCTTATATTAAAAAATGATAATTAGCTGGGCGCGATGGCTCACGCCTATAATCCCAGCACTTCGGGAGGCCCAGGTGGGTGGATCACGAGGTCAAGAGATAGAGACCATCCTGGTCAACATGGTGAAACCCCGTCTCTACTAAAAATACAAAAAATTAGCTGGGCATGGTGGTGCGTGCCTGTAATCCCAGCTACTCAGGAAGCTGAGGCAGGAGAATTGCCTGAACCCAGGAGGCGGAGGTTATGGTGAGCCAAGATCGCGCCATTGCACTCCAGCCTAGGTAACAAGAGCGAAACTCCGTCTCAAAAAAAAAAAAAAGATAATTACAGTCAGATGTTATTTGACTCAGGAACAGAAGTGGAAACAAGCAAGATGCACAGAACACATGCAGTATAATCTCGTTTACAGAACACTACACATTGCTTGGGGATGCAGGTACATGTAGATGATTGGTAATGGCTGTGATATAGGACAGACTCCAACTACTGAGCGGAAATGGCAGGTATGAAAGTAGGCTGAGGCATTTGCTCAAGGAACGAGGAACTTGCTGCAGCAGTGGCTACATGCTCATGCTCAGCCTAGGCCCACATGGTCTCTTCTCTCAACCACAGGTGTGGCCTTGTAGGAAGTCTTCCAGGACTGGCTGACAGAGAAAGAAAACATTTTAGGGCTTGCTGTGTAGGGCTTTACTGCACAACACGCTGTGCCATCCAAAGCAGACAAATACAGTCTTACAGCCCTGTTCTGACTGTGGGTAGCCCTGAAGAATAGTGATGGATGGAAATCCTCCCAATGGGAACAACTTCATTCAGTGCAGTTGGCTGGTCATTTTTCTCAGAAGGAGAAATAGCTAGGAGTAGATCTACACTGATTTGTGGACACTGGTCAATAGCTGGACTAAACAAGAGCAGCCAGGGGTTCAAAGAACAGAATTAGAAAACCGGTGACATGGAAGTTAAGAGGTATGTGGACAGATCTCTAAAAATGGGCAGACTATGAATGAGCATCTAAAAATGAGTGGGGCTGGGCACCGTGGCTTACACCTTGAATCCCAGCACTCTGGGAGGCAGAAAGGGGAGGACTGCTTAAGGCCAGGAGATTGAGACCAGCCTGGGCAACACAGCAAGACCTCTTCTCTATAAAAAAGAAAAGAATTAGTCAGGTATAGTGGTGTGTATCTGTAGTCCTAGCTACTTTGGAGGCTGAGGCAGGAGGATTGATTGGGCCCAGAAGTTTGAGGTTACACTGGGCTATGATTGAGCCACTGTACTCCAGCTTGAGTGACAGAGTGAGACCCTGTCTCAAAAAAAAAAAAAAAAAAAAAAAAAAAAATCGGTGGACATGACCTATTCACTTGCTGGCTACTTCTGCCCTTGTCCAGTGGATTGATGAACAAAGGGGCCACGAGGTTGGGAGGAATAATAACCATGGGCTCAGCAACATTACTTCCGCTCCCCAAGGCTGATTTTGCTACAGCTGCTACTGCGTATTCCACTTACCAACAGCAGGAATCATTACTGAGCTTTCAATATAGTGTTACTGTCAGGAAAGAGGAGCCAGACCTCTGATGGCAGCTTGGTTGTACTGGACCGTTAACATCATGAGAAAAGGCAGTGCTTTGGTCTTAATGGAACACACACTCCCTTTGGACAAGAATTTGCCATTGTCACCCAGAACCCAAACCCACCATCCATGAACATAGAGAGAATGTTTCATTTGCTCAATTTGTTCCTTGAGCAAATGCCCCAGCCTAGCATTGCTTCTAACAAGAGAACTCATGTTTTAGCAAACAAGTGTGGCATTATGTATTAACATATATTAGTCAATTCTTATTTTTCCACTCTCTTACTTCCTTACCATATAACAAAATATTTTAACAGGTTAACCTTATATCTCAGTAAAGTTAAAGAATAGTAAAGGGAGGAGGTATGACTCAGCTAGAAGAAAAATCAAATTACCCAAAGAAGGAAAAGGTAACTTTCTATCTTGTTTTGGGTAACGAAGCCAGCATCTTTGAAGTTGTACAAGAAAGAGTTAAAAGCATGATTTTTAATGTATTAGGGTCTTTATTTGGAAGTTAAATATGGTTTAAAGAGGTATGTATAGATGTCAAGATCACAATGGGGTGAACTATGGTGGTTTCATCCTGTATCAATGCAGCTAAGCTATAACTACTTCTCAGGTTCTCTGTCTGGCCTGGTTCTGAGTAACAGCTTCATCACAGAGAAATCTGCATAGGATTTAGAAGGCAGAAGTTTATTAATAGTCATTATGCTCACAGGCTGATAGGGGGCCTGGCACCGCTTTCTCAGGTTGCTGTGGATCTGCAGACTTGTTGGGTTAAGTGGGACAGTGCACAGCCCACGTTCCTGCCTCTACTCTTTCAGCTTCCAGGCCAGGAATGTGTGCAACTCTCTGGCAAAGTGTACCAGCAGTTTCTTCTGTAAGACACCTGCCTGTCAGTGTCAGATGTGGTTAGACAGATTTGCACTCCAGCCTGTTTTTGCTTTTCACTACTTCTTATCCTACAGTGACTTTAGGGAGAGACCTAGCTTTCCTCTGACTTACCCACCACCTTGGTGGAACCCGGTTAGAGATTTTTCTCAGACTTCCACTTGCTCTCTTTTCAGTTTCTCCCACATTGTTTTGCGTCTCCTAGCCCAACTTTAATGGATACAATAGCAAACAGTTTCCAGTGACTCCAACAATTCATAAACCAGCAGTCAATGAGAGTTCCTATTATGTAATATCCCTGACAACATTTGATTCTGTCAGATTCTTCTCGTTTTTTGCCAATCTGGTGGCAGTTAATAGTACCTCACTGTGGTGCTACCTTGCAAGTTCCTGATTACCCTTCAGATGCACCAGTTGTTACTTAGTTGGCCATTTGCATTTCTTCTTTTAAGTTATTTAAAAGTTTCTGGGCCGGGTGTGATGGCTCATGCCTGTAATCCCAGCACGTTGGGAAGCTAAGGTGGGCGGATCACCTGAGGTCAGGAGATTGAGACCAGCCTGACCAATATGGAGAAACCTCGACTCTATTAAAAATACAAAATTAGCCAGGCATGGAGGTGCATATCTGTATCCCAGCTACTTGGGAGGCTGAGGCAGGAGAATCACTTGAACCTGGGAGGCGGAGGTTGCAGTGAGCCAAGATTGCATCACTGCACTCCAGCCTGGGCAACAGAGACTCTGTCTCAAAAATTTTTTCAAAAAGTTTCTGAAAATAAGCATTCAGATTTGTAAAGTATTAGTTTTCTGAGGCTGTCATAATAAAGTCCCACAAACAGGGGGTGTGAGGGGGTGGGAAGAGCCAGGGAATAAAAATAGAAATTTACTATCTTAAAGTTCTGGAGGTCAGAAGTCCGAAATCAAAGTGTTGTCAGATGTGCTCCCTCCGAAACCTGTAGGCAAATCTTTTTTTGCCTCTTTCTAGCTTCTGGAGGCTCCTGACAATCTTTGCTGTTTCTTGACCTGTAGCTGTGTATAACTCCAATCTCTGCCTTTGTCACCACAGGGCACTTTCTCTGTGTGTCTCCATGTCTTCATATAGCCACCTTCTTATAAAAACAATAGTTGTCCTGGATTAGGGCCCATGCTACTCCAATATGACCTCACCCTAATGAATTATATCTGCAATAATCCTATTTCCAAAGGCCACATTCAGAGGTACAAGGGGTTACAACCTATCTTTTTTATCAGAGTTCACAATTCCATATATAACAGTGGGAGAATCCATCTATAATTCTTCTTCTTCTTCTTCTTCTTTTTTTTGGTGTTCTTTCTCCTTTGTTTCTTTTTTTCTTTCTTTTTTTTTTTAATTTCATTTTAGGTTTGGGGTACATGTGAAGAAGATGCAAGATTGTTGCCTAGGTATACACATGGCAGTGTGATTTGCTGCCTTCCTCCCCATCCATCACCTATATCTGGCATTTCTCCCCATGCTATCGCTCCCCAGCTCTCCACTCCGCACTGTCCCTCCCCTATATATCTATAATTCTTTTTTTTTTTTTTTTTTTGAGACAGAGTTTTGCTGTTGTTACCCAGACTGGAGTGCAATGGCACGATCTTGGCCCACCGCAACCTCCGCCTCCTGGGTTCAAGCAATTCTCCTGCCTCAGCCTCCCGAGTAGCTGGGACTACAGGTGCGCACCACCACGCCCAGCTAATTTTCGTATCTTTAGTAGAGACGGGGTTTCACCTTGTTGACCAGGATGGTCTCGATCTATTGACCTCGTGATCCACCCGCCTCGGCCTCCCAAAGTGCTGGGATTATAGGCGTGAGCCACCGTGCCCGGCCTACATCTGTAATTCTTTAAAATATTTTTCAGGTTTGCTTTATTGAGAATCCAAAGATTCTGGATTTTAGTGAGATCCAGGCATTATGTTTAATAAAGTTAAAACAAAATTCCAGGTGGCTCACACCTGGAATCTCAGCACTTTGGGAGGCCAAAGCAGTGGGACTGCTTAAGGCCCTGGGTTCAAGACCAGACTTGGCAATATAGTGTGACTTGGTCTCTCCAAAAAAATATTAAATAAAATTGGCTGGGCGCGATGGCTCAAGCCTGTAATCCCAGCACTTTGGGAGGCCCAGGTGGGTGGATCATGAGGTCAAGAGATCGAGACCACCCTGGTCAACATGGTGAAACCCCGTCTCTACTAAAAATACAAAAAATTAGCTGGGCACGGTGGCATGTGCCTGTAATCCCAGCTACTCGGGAGGCTGAGGCAGGAGAATCGCCTGAACCCAGGAGGCGGAGGTTGCGGTGAGCCGAGATCGCACCATTACACTCCAGCCTGGGTAACAAGAACAAAACTCCGTCTCAAATAAATAAATAAATAAATAAAATTAGCCACGCATGGTGGTGGATGCCGGTAGTCTCAGTTACTTGGAAGGTCAAGGCAGGAGGATTACTTGAGCCCAGGAGGTTTGGGCTGCAGTGAGCTATGATTGCATCGCTGTCCTGCAGCATGGGTGACAGAGTGACACCCTGTCTCAAAAACAAAAACCTCACCAGGGAGGACTCTGAAGCCTGAAGTCCACCAGCTGGTAAACAGGTGAGGGGGAGGATTAGAGCCATCAAGTCCGGGATTTTCAGTCACATCACACTGTGAGGAAGCATGGACACTGCAGGCAGGCCCTGCTGAAGAGCTGGGCCCTAACTCAAGATTAGGAAAAATGCAAAAGGTGTGTAGTACAACTGACAGCAAATTAAGACCTTCGCCTCAAGTCAAAACACAGGCTCCTCTCACTTTCCACATACCTGTTTCATTATGGAAGACAGCCAGGTCTGTTTTTCTCACACCAAAAATGCTACTGACGACACTCTTCAGTTTTAAAAGGTCCAACCTATTATCACCTTTTGGATTTTCCAGAAGCAATACTCCGCCTAAAAAGTCACAAAAATAACACATCAGACAAGTAAAACTAAAAAGAAAATGTTAAATTTGGAGGAAAAAGGATACAAAGGGGTTAATGTCCTCATTTTTTTCTAAATATATACTATATATTTTTCCAAATATATACTATATATATCTATATATATATCTCTCTATCTCCACACTTGGTATGTTTTGACAATCCTTGGTCGATATGGTCTTGTCTTTTTCTAGGTACAAATCTTTGTATTTATGATTCTCATTTTTCTTTTTTGAGATGGAGTTTCACTCTCGTTACCCAGGCTGGAGTGCAATGGCACGATCTCGGCTCACCGCACCCTCCGTCTCCTGTGTTCAAGCAATTCTCCTTCCTCAGCCTCCCGAGTAGCTGGGACTACAGGCGCTCACCACCATGCCCAGCTAATTTTTGTATTTTTAATAGAGGCGGGGTTTCACCTTGTTGACCAGTAGGGTCTCGATCTCTTGACCTCATGATCTACCTGCCTCAGCCTCCCAAAATACTGGGATTATAGGTGTGAGCCACCGTGCCCGTCCCAATTCTCATTTTTCATTTTGTGCCCATTGTAAATCCCCATGGGTTAGGTTGGTTAAAAATACCATCTGGCCCCTGCTGTTGATTTATTCTGCACCTTAGATTCATGTACAGATATTTACTTTATTAATATGTTTGGACATTTTGAGTTAATTGTATAGCCAAATGCATGTAGAGAGATATCCTGGGGCCCTTTGCCCAATTTCCCCCAATAGCGACATTTTACAAAACTACAGTATATATCACAAACAGCACACTGACACTGATGCAATCCACCAATCCTATTCAGATCACCTCAGTTTTACTTTTACTCACTGGGGCATGTGTACATGTGGGTATGTTTAGTTCTATGCAATTTTATCACTCTTATAAAATCCTGTACCCATCACCATCATTAAGATACACAGCAGTTCTGTAGCCACAAGAATCTTTGTGCTGCCTTTTTTTTTTTTTTTTTGAGACAGAGTTTTGCTGTTGTTACCCATACTGGAGTGCAATGGCACGATCTCAGCTCACCGCAAACTCCGCCTTCTGGGTTCAAGCAATTCAGTTACTCAGCCTCCCGAGTAACTGGGACTACAGGCACACACCACCATGCCCAGCTAATTTTTGTATTTTTAGTAGAGACGGGGTTTCACCTTGTTGACCAGGATAATCTTGATCTCTTGACCTTGTGATCCACCCGCCTCGGCCTCCCAAAGTGCTGGGATTATAGGTGTGAGCCACCGCGCCCGGCCCTGTGCTGCCTTTTAATATCCACACCCAATGCCCTTTCAGGCCCATTCCCTCCTTAACCCCTGGCAAATAAGTCTCCATTTCTATAATTTTATCATTTAAAACATGTTATATAACTGCGATCATAAAGTATGGAATGTCTTGGGACTTTTTTCAGTTGGCATCAATTTCTTTTCTTTTTGAGATGGAGTTTAGCTCTGTAACTCACTGCAACCTCTGCCTCCCAGATTCAAGCAATTCTCATGTCTTGGCCTCCCATGTAGCTGGGATTACAGGTACCCACCAACACACCTGGCTAATTTTTGCATTTTTTCAGTAGAGATGGGGTTTCACCATTGTTGGCCAGGCTGATCGTCCTGACCTCAGCTGGCACCAATTTATACATATTAAAATAAGTTGCTGTGCTAATAGTTGTTCCTTTTTATTATTACTGTGTTATGTGCTATGATATGGCTATACCAGTTTGTTTGACCATTTACCTGCTGAAGAATATCTGGGTTGTCTACATTTTGGAGATAATATGAATACAAGTACTATATACATTCATGTGGCATGAACGTAAGTTTTCAGTAGTCTCTGGGATAAACACATAGGAGTGCAACTGTTGAGTCATTTAGAAAGCACATATTTAGTTTCCTGACAATGTCAAACTATTTTCCAGAGTGGCCACGCTGTTCTATATTCCTACCAGCAATGTATGAGAGGCAGCATTTGGTGCTGTCACTATTTTTAATTTTAGTCATTCTGAGGTGTCTAGTAAGACTACAATGTGATTTCAGCTTGCATTTTCCTAATGGCTAATGACATTAAATATTGTCATGTACATTTCTGTCATTTATATATTCCCTTTGGTAAATGTCTGTTCATATCTCTACCCTATTTTCTAATTTGATTTTTCTTCACTGTTGAGATTTAAAGATCTTTATATATTCTAGATACGCCCTTTGTCAATTATTTATAAAGATTTTCTCCCAGCCTATAGCTTGTTTTTCATCCTTTTACAGGATATTTAGAGCAAAACCTAAATTTTCATTTAGTTCCACATATCACTTCCCTTTTATGTTCAGTGCTTTTGTGTCAAGGCTTTAAAACTCTGTTTAATGTTGAAATGAAAAATCTTAAGACTTTTCCAAAAATACTAGTGTGTTTTATATTATAGTACCTGGTACATGGCTAGTTTTCTAATGAAAGCTATGAAGTCTGCTTGTCTGTGTTTATATATGCCTGTGCATGTAGGTATGTCACATATGTGTTAATTTTCTACTTCCAGATGGTACTGTCAAAAGTTAATTCATGAAATATTTCTATTTAATTGGTTTAAAGAAAAATAAGCACTTAACATAAATTAAGTATTCTCTCAGCAATATGGAAACTAACAGAAATTATTTTCAAGTTCACGTGACTTGGGTAAGAATATATAATGTAGATATATACAACTTTAAAATCCTACCAGGGTTTACTATCAAATAAGTTTATGTTACCTCCACTAGAAGTTTATGAACAAATGTGCATGTGGATGGCAGTATCCATTACTTTATGTTTATTGAGCACAACAATAAAACAAAAAATCTCAACTACTTTTTAGGATTCTTGTTTTTGTAAAGACTGCTGAACATACACATGCTGTAAAAGTAGCTAACAGAGAAATCACTTGATAGCTAGCTTTGTTTTGTGTTATGTCTACTTAAAAATTAGCTCCCCACTGGCAATTTACATCCTTGGTGTTTTGCTAATTTAGATGACTATTCATTGGATATGCAGGTATTATCCAAATAAGAGAAAATACTGAAGCGTTAATAGCTGAACATAAATTATGCTATGAGGAAGCATATGTTCCTACTAATTTGATTCATAGATTTGCCAATCTATAGAATGCTGATGTGACAGTTCAAACTAGAGAAAGAGAAATGACTCTATATGTGAGGAAAAAATATGGTTTTGGTAAGGTGAATCTATTACGTATGAAGGATGTATGTTCATTAAGAGAAAAAGACTAATTTTTGTCTTAAAGCAGAATGACTTGTTTCACAATAAGAGGAAGGAGGAATTTAATCCAAAACAGAATGGATATAAGAAAGCTATAGTAGGTTTGTGGAAGAGAAATCTTGGAAAAGGAATTTAATGAATTTCTAAGTTATCAAAATAATGAGCCTTAATATCAAAGGTCTTTGATATTTTTTACTAACTTCCCAAAATCAAACTCTAAATTTAAGTCTCCCTCGAGCTAACTTTGGGAGCTTCCAGAGGGCCCCTAAAATATCTCAAAACAATTTTCTTTCATCATGAAGAGAAACAATAAATAAGTTACACTTATTTGATTATGTTACATCTGCATGGGAAGAACTGCCAAATAAGAAATAATGCTTAACCTTCTTTGAGTTATATTTGTACAGATGTATTACTAATGTGTTCCAGAAACTGTGTGAAACTCCTAGAAATGATAGGTCTAATGTTATCAGTCACAATTCTAGTTACCTTAAAATGGTATACACCACAGAACTCAACTTCCTTGTCAATAGCAACACTACTATAGTGAACTCTCATCAGATATTTAACCATGGCCATTTAAAATCTTGTCATCCACAAATATTTGTTTTACTCTGATACTTTCCTGAAAGTCATTGTAAGCAACTACAAATCTGAAGTGTTTCATCTTTGAGGACACGCAATGGAAAGGACTCTGACAAGTACAGGTTTATGTTAAGATCACACCACTGGATTGGGTAAGAATTCCCAGAACTCTAGTGAAGTAATTAACTAATTCATAATGCTGTCACAATGGCAATGACATTTCAACCTGAGTTTTGGAGGGTATACTCAAACCACAACAGGATAGAAAAGACATTTTTACTGTATTGAATCTTCCAATCCATAAACACATCTCTCTACTTATTTAGATTTTGTCTGAATTTTTTCGTCACTGTTTTGTAGTTTTTGGTATACAAGTCCTAACATATTTTATTTAGTTTTCATTTTTTTTGGAGACAAGGTCTCACTCTCTGGCCCAGGCTGGAGTACAGTGGCATGATCATGGCTCACTGCCGCCTGTATCTCCCAGGCTCAAGTGATCTTCCCACCTCAGCATCCCAAGCAGCTGAGACTAAAGGTAACCACCACCACACTTGGCTGGTTTATTTCTTGTAGAGATGGGGTCTCACTTTGTTGCCCAGGCTAGTCTTGAACTCCTGGATTAAAGTAATCCTCCCGCCTAAACCTTCTAAAGTGCTGGGATTACAAGCATGAACCACCACACCTGGCCTGGCATATTTTTTTAAGTGACTATAAATGAAACCATATTTTAAATGTCACTGTCCACTTGTTCACTGCTAGTACGGATTGCTAGTATGAAATAAAAATCATTTTTGTATGTTTATCTTTTATCCTGTGACTCTAAGTTCTTTTGCTTTTTTATAAGCAGTATCATTTATATTCAATTACTTTGGAAACCCAATTAAAGGGTACAGAAAAAGGCCAAACATTTAAAAATAACAGATTTAAAGATGATTTGTAGTTTTCCCTCATAATATGAATGTTTTCAGTAGTACAGTAAATTGCAAAACATATCAAATCATATTAAGGCAGAGGACCAAGCTGTGGCTGCATTTAAAGGTATTCCTAGGAAAATAATCTAGGAGTTGGGAGCCCTTCTTCCCAAGTATCTGGTCAACTGACCCAGGAATGGGCAGTCCTGGAGTCACCAGATGGGAGAATAGGCCCTTACCT